ATAATATGGTGATCATGTAAAGAGAGAGCCAAAGGGTTACATGAGCCATTTGTCTCAAATACCACTTTCATACATCCCCAAGCTTAAGCCATGCATTTCAATGAACTCCATGGATTATCTGAATGACCATGTTTAATCTAAAAGTAAATGCAAGTATATAATTATTTCCTTAACAGACAATCTTGAGCATTAAGTAAAGAATTATCTCACTTTAAAAGATGTATGAGGTCTTTTTCGGTCATTCTTTTGTTCTGTTATTTGACCATTTCCCCCTCTAATTTAAGAATCTTTGATGTATTTCTTAAATGAGAATGAAGGCACTCATTCTGGAAACTAATAAAATACAATAAACAAATAAACTCTCTATACAAATATATATATTTAACATTATTAACCAGAAAGCCTACTAAAGTAGTCCCAAATTTTATCAGGTAAATGCAAAACCACTAACCTTCTTGAATGCAGCTGAAATCAGTGGGCAAGTCATCAACATAATGGTGCTCAGTGTCAGCAGGGATTATTTCAGAAGGGAAAAATTACCATCATTTTTGGCTCTTCTCCTTTTGAAGGATACAAGTATGGAATTTTGCCAATTTTTTACTTTTACAAAAATGCTACATTGAGACTTGTTTAAAAGATCCCAATTCAGTTTTTATATGGAAAATGGATGTTAAAAATGCCAAAGGGAGGTACTCTGGCAGGAAGAGGCAAGAGACAGAATAAGGAAACAAAGGCAAACGAATCAAATTCTCAAGGCTTCACTGAATTTTCAATGAATTTTTGCAAGGAGTAAGAAAGGTGTGGGAAATGACTTTTGTTAACCTAGCTCATTTATAGATGACATATGGATAGATGAAAGTGACAAGCTAAATCAAAAGCCCTAATCAAGTTCTCCAGCAACTATATTTCTTTGATTCTTATTAAGAAGCTTTAGCTTTCCAGTAGTTTCCTAAAAGTAATTAGGGTTTACATATGTGATTAATGAAAATGACATTCTCTATGGTACTATTTATAAAATAGTGAAAAATCAGAAATCTTCTAAATGGCCTAACATGGGTGAATGACTTAAAAAGTAGCTATTTCTATATAATTCTTGACAGCCTTTAAAAGTGAGGTTAGATAAAAAAAATACTGATAATGAAATACGGTCATAACACAAAGTGAAAATATAAGAAAACGGCACGTGTGGAATGATCTCATTAAAGGACTATGTACACAGGTACAGACTCTAACAGCACTATCTGACAGAACTTTGTACAATGATGGAGATTTCAATATTCACACACTCTGATACAGTAACCAATAGACGGAAATGGTTATTAAGCACTTGAAATGTGGCTAGTGCAACTGAAGAATTAAATTTAAAATTTTTTACATTTTAACCAGGTTTCATTTATTGGCTACAATGTCAGACAGCATAAATCTAGATGGACAGAAAATGAGGTGTGCCAGTTAATATCACTGTGCTTGCTAATAAACCTAGGAAGCTATTCATCTTCAATATACTATATTTGAAATAACAAAAGACAAGAAATGCATCAGAAGTGGTCCTATTCTTCCCTACTCAGCTCCCAATCCCACGCCACAAGTTCCAGGACTTTTTAATGAAAGGACTGTGGAACTGATCAGGTAAGTTAGTAAAGGGGTATATGATTTGAGGAGAAACATGAGTACGTGGAACAGATAATTTAAACTAGAGTTTGAACAAGGAAAGTAAATATATCTTTCTAGATGGAAGACAGAAAATAGAAATCATTCCTGGAAATCATGAAAGCAAGATTACTTTAGGAGTGAGTTATAATAATAAAGACTTAGTTTAAGCTTTAGTAAATAGATTAAGTTCTTTTTAAAGCAAGGTAAAGAGTGCCACTTTAAATTTGTTAAGTATTTGATGATCTAAAAAACTAAACTAATAATAAAGAAGATGTTTGGCACATTTAAAGAATCAAATTAATTTTTCAGGCTTAAAATACACTCTTAAATAAATCTCACTAAGCAGAGAGAACTTTTCATTCTCAGTCAAGAAAACATTTTTTATTATAATAATTTTATATTGGCTCTAGAGATTGTGGCAAAGAAACAGCTTTCTCCTTTCTTTACTAGTAAAATGGTAGGAAATTTGAATCATCCATTTCATGCATAGGAATATAAACATTAGCGAAGAACTTTGGTTAAGTACTTTGAGTTGCCTTCAAAGGAAAACAGTGAATTATATATCATCTAACAACAGCAATTTTTTGGTAGATTTACCAGCATCACCTTTTTCTTTCTTTTCCCTCCCTATCTCAACTCAATTCATGACAGAACTCATGGGTTTAATCTACAAGTACCAACAAAAAATGTTTGACAGTCCATTCATTATAGACATTCCATAACCAGAATTCAATGCACGCTCAGGACCAACATTCAACAACCCATCCTTAATGAAGAATAACAACGATTTAACGAACAGTCGATTACCTAAACATAGTTTATATCTGACTATAAAATGTTTTATATTTGTATATAAACATAGGAGTATCTGTATTACCCAGCAATCACACTCTAAAGCATTTATCTCAGAGAAAAGAAAACTCATCTCTACATAAAAATTTGTACACAAACGTTCACAGGAGCTTTATTTGTAACAGCCAAGAAGTGGAAACAACCAAAACGTTCTTCAGTTGTGAATGCTAAACTACATTACATCAAAACCATGGCATAATAATCAGCAATTTTAAAAAAGATCTGGAAGGCAAATAAGAAAAAAAAAGCCAATCTCAAAAAAAATTACATACTGTATGATTCTGCTTATAGCATTCTCAAAATGACAAATTATACAGATGAACATGTTATTGGTTGCTAAGGGTTAAGGATCTGGGATCGGGAGTGGATCATTATAGAAGTAGGCTATAAGTAGGCTTCCCTGGTGATTCAGATGGTAAAGAATCTGCCTGAAATGTGGGTTCCATCCCTGGGTCGGGAAGATCCCCTGAAGAAGGGAACAGCAACCCACGCCAGTATTCTTGCCTGGAGAATCCATGGACGGAGGAGCCTAGCAGGCTACAGGGGTCACAAAGAACTGGACATGACTAAGTGACTAATACTTTCACTTTCTTTCATAAATAAACTGAATGAGGGGGAGCTTTCAATAATATGTTCTGTATCTTGACTGCAGTTACATGAATCTGAACATGTGATTAAATGGCACAGAACTCTACACATTGTACCAACACTAATTTCCTATTTTTGATACTGTATTATGACGCAGTAAGAAGTAACCAAAGGGTGAAACTAGGAGGATACATGGACCTTCTTGTACTATTTTTGGACCTTTCTATGAATCTATAATTATTTCAAAACAAAAAGTTAAAAATACATAATAAATGCCTCTTATTATGTAAAGGGTTCTAAAGAGTCAAATATAATAAAGCAGTATGATTTTTTAAGATCTGTGGTTTACTGGTAAGTACAATCTCACAAAGACAACATAAAAGGAAATTTTCTTAAAAGCAGCGACAGAATGAAAAATTCAAGAGGTACAGGTGGGAAAATAGAACACTTCAGCCTAAAAGAGATAATACATTAAAAGGTGAAAATTGTGTAAAATTCTATAACTAACAACAGAGAAATCTAATGGATGTAACAAAGTGAAGCAAGAAAGAATGAGAGTAGGGAAGTTGAAGGTCTAGAAGATTTGGTAAGAGTACACGTCAAATTCAATAACAATATCACATAGTAACTTATCACAAATAACTTAAGAGATTTAGTAATCAGAGAATCTGTGGTAAACTCAAGCTTTTCAGATTACTCTTATGAATGACTTAGTCTAGGACATGGCTGTTTTATGAGAGACTTAGGAGGAAATGGGAGAATCAAGTGTAAGTGGAAGATGTTAAAGGTCAAAAGGGATAGGGTAATTCAAGGGTCATGTTGAAATGACCCTGAATTTCATTTGGTAAAATTGGCTAGTGAAGTGATAAAGGATAATGACAGAGAATAGGATAAAGAAGTTTTGTCAGGCAATGCAATAATTTGAAGAAAACTAAAAAATATATTTGAAGTTGGAATAGATGGCTATGAAGTGGGAGAAAATCTTAATAATGACACCACCTCTGTATCTTTAAATGTGACATATTTATTTGAGTTTTATCAGAAAAATAGCCAATTATACGAAGATGGGTGCCATTCAAGAAGATAATTTGTAAATCAATCTGCCAAAGGCTAAACAAATATCCATCATCTTGGGTTTCAAGAAAGAGATGATACACTCAGGAGACACTATGCTTGTTCTCTAGAAGCCTGTTTTAGATTTCAAAATGAAAGATTTTACGCAATAAAGCAAAGTCTAAAATAGATGCCTATTCAGATATACATATAAAGGAGAAAGAAATGCTGACTGAATACAATTTCATATAATCGCAATACTTAAAATAATTGAAAAGTTCAATTTTGTTTGAAATTGCTTTTTCTCTAGACTCTGTTGAAAATATTAAGCCTTAAACTGTTGTATTCGAATCACTCAAAGCTTTTCCAGGGCTAATAAAATAGCTGGTGTTCAATTTTAGCAACATAAAGAAAAAGGTTTTGCCTTAGTACTAGATGACTTTCCTTGAATCAACCTGAACATCCAAATATGTCATCCAATTCAGTAAGAACTTGTACTTTATAGTGGTTCTCATTGATGCTAGGATAGGAAACTTTTAGACTTTAAAAGACTGTAAATTAACTAAATTTGATAATAGTAATTCATCAAAATTTAGTTCCACACCAGCTGGCATTTGCCTTACATTTGGAGAGTTAATATTGTGAATCTTGTTCCTAACCAACTTTAGATTTCCATCTCTCTACTTCCCCTTTGATGGAAAAGAATTGCTTATAAGCAGTAACAAAGTGTTCTTTATTCTGAGGAAACATTATTTCCACTACAATAAAAAACAAGGAAGGGTAAACCTTTATTTTAAATGTATTGTATCTGTGGGGTTGACCTTACAATTTAGATATCATCAAATAATACTTACCAATACATACATCAATCTTTCCTTTTATAGCAGCTTCATGCAGAGGGGTATAATTCCAGTTATCCCTGGCATTTGGATCAGCTCCTTGGCACAGTAACAGACTCACAACCTCAGCATGGCCAAAAGAACACGCATTATGAAGTGGAATGAGACCGCCATCATCACGAGCATGGACATTAGCACCCATTTGTAGTAAGTGTTCTACCACGTCCTTTCTTCCAAAACCTAAAAAGAAAGAGGGAAAATATTTTATATTGTAAATTCAGTTTTGTAAAAAGAACCACTAGAATTCCTTTAACAATGATATCAACAAATATGAACAACTGAAGTACTATGTTCTACAGCAAAAAGTTTATAAAAAAAAAAAGATGCCATTCAAATAGATTCTCTCATCTCACAGAACTGAGAACTAAGGAAGTTCTTCCCTTAGTTTGGGTAATTCCTTCCAAAAACATTTCTTCAACACCTATTACATGCTAGAAATGCAGGATGAATGAGGCAAAATTCCTGCCCAAGGCATTCACTTTCCTCTCAAAATCAGATGCATAAAATCCATTTCTGTATTTTTAAATACCAATGAAAATCAAATCTAAGACAAAGCACAGCACTTAACATTACACTAGGGAAATCAGAGAAGAATATACGGATATCAGAAATACATGGTGATAGTTTGGCTACAAGCTATTTGAAAAGAAAGAGCTTAAGATAATGCCATAATATCTACTCTTGGGACTGGTACCCAAACTAAATGAATGTGTAGTTACAATTCAAAGTTGGATTACTGAGGGAATTTTATGACAAACAAGTGAGAATACAGGCTTTTGGAAATACAGAGCCAGAACACTGGTGAAAAGCATCCCAATTTTCAGACAGAAAAATAGTGTTAGTGGAGGGTGTTGTTAGAAGAGCCAGAAAAAAATCTAAAGCACTGTACAGACTAGGCAAACACTGAGAATGGTAAGAAATACCAAGAAAACACATTATGGATGTTAAAGGGCAACAACATTATGCCAAGCCCAGCATGATGAGGATTTAGTTAGATAATGGAAAAGGGAAAAAATAGCCATTTTGACAATTTGAAGGTCATCATAGTACTGTGATGAAATTTTAAACTACACTGCAATGGGTTAAAAAAAAAAGATTACTGAATATATTAGCATTTTTATCTTTACCAGCTTAATACTTTTATTAATGATCTTTCTTTTCCTACTTTAAATTTTATTAGGACTTGCCGGCTAGGTATCACTGCCTTCATGCTATTACTTACCATGTAATGTTGTTAGAAAATGACATTTTAACACTGGAAAGCAGTAATGGTCATATCTTCTTTCATTTTATGCATGTATTAACTAAATAAATGAGAATTATGCAGAAAATAGAAAACAAAAAAGGATTTATTTCAATATATGTCCTTTACACTATCTTTAGAAATTCATTCACTCCAGGAAAGTAGGCCAAGAAAAAGTCTCCTGCTTTATAGATTTGAATAAAGCCTGCATGCAAATTTACATTTCTCTAATTAGTGCACTAACAGTGTTTGAGAACTAATTTCCTTTCTTCACTAATAAATGAAGTAAAAACAAAAATGCTTGGCATCAGCAAGAAAGTGGTGAAATGGAGTTGTGTTCACACTGGTAACGTGAATATGAACTGGTGCCACATTTCTGTTTTACGTTTTTTTTATGTGGATCATTTTTTAAAAGGTCTTTATTGAATTTGTTACAATGTTACTTCTGTTTCATGTTTTGTTTTCTTGGTCTGGAGGCATGTGGGATCTTGGTTCCCTGACCAGGGATTGAACCCACACCTCCTGCGTTGGAAGGCAAGTATTAACCACTGGAATACCAGGGAAGTCTCATGGTACTACATTTTAGAAAAAAATGTAGCATTATCATGAATAGGCTTAAACAAATATACTCTCTGACTCAAAATACCACTTTTCAATTTTTATCATTTAAAAAATGATTTATCCATGGACAAAGATTTTGCATCAAGAATTTTATCATAATGTTATTTACAGAAAATCATGGAGATTAGATGCCCAATAATATTCTGTTACATAAATGTAAAATGACAGTTTCTGAATAAAATCATCTGTACTGAAAGAATGCTAGAACACTGTGAATGGACTTAATATCACTGAGCCATATATTTTAAAATGGCGAAAATGGCATTTTATTTTTAAACTGCTTAAATAAAAACTTAAAATGTATATTTTACCACAGTAAAAAAAAAAAAAAAAAAAGGTATAGACCAACCAGCCACCCACCCTCACAGACACACACACAATATTATAAAAATTCCAACATATATCAATGAGTTCTCCTTCCATTTTTCTCCACCTTCCCTCCCTTCCTCCCTCCCATCCTTTCTTTCTGGCTGCGCCATGCTGCATGTGGGATCTTAGTTCCCTGACCAGGGATCAAGCCTGCATTCCCTGCAGTAGAAGCGTGAGTCTTAACTGCTGGGCCTCCTGGGAAGTCCCTCAATTAGCCTTTTGGATTGCGAATATATAAAACAAAATATAGGAGAAAAAATATGACATTTGAAATATAGATAGATAGAAAATGAGACTAAGTCACTAGGTAGTAGAAATATGGAATATTTTCTTCTTTTTCATTATCTTTTCTTATTACATAAAACATAATCGTGCATAAAATATATGTATGTGTACACATACAAGTTTAAAAAGGTGGAGGTGAACAACCAAAATCAGTAAAGATACATTTAATGTGTCAACTATGAAATCATCTAATTTGATTTTGTATTAAAATGCATTAAATCAGTGTTACCCACAAGAAAATTAATCCCCTATTTAAAGTACTGTAATTTAGAAAACCATACATAAAAAGCTTATCAAAACATGTACTCTACCTGTACTATTAAGTACAATTCATAACTGGTCATGAACCACTCTATCCATGTTTAATGCATATGCATTACTTTTTATACATAAAGAGAATTCATTATCTATGATGGTCATACAAGGCCTTTATTTCATAACCAAGGTTTGTAGCAATTATCTCTGCAATTGATTTTTTGGGGGGTCTAAAGAACCAAAATAAATATAATAATTAGGACTGGTTCAAAGAACTACAGAGAATTTGACTATACAGTAACTTACCTATAAATTAACTCATAGGAAATAGCTTCTAAGTGAAACCATTACACACCCACACAAGATTTTCAGTGTCCCATTCCACCAAGCTAGCACATGTCAAAAAAAGTTAAGTCACAATTTTTAAAAGGAATAATGTTGCTACTTATACATATCTTTATGGCTGAGTGTTACAAAGCACAAAAGAAAAACCAATGAACCATCTCTCTCTGATGCAAGAGAGGCTGTTAAAAATCAAGACAGTGTAATACTCTGATCTTTACCAACAAAACGGTATGTGCTATTAGAAGAGACTCCCAAACTGAGAGTTGTACAAAAGGTATAATTTAACTTTTACAGAAAATTTCTTACAGAAAAATTCTTTTTGCTTAAAGTACATGCCTTATTCCTGACAATAAAAATAGCAATAATAATGGTAAGTAGCTAACATTTAGTAAGCTCTGTTTTCTGACAAGAAGAATGCCAAATGCTTGACAAGCATTAGCTCCTGTGATAACATCCTGTGACAAGCATTTCCCTCATTTTATTGTTGAAGAATTCTTTCCCTCAGTTCTGATACTCGTGAACTATACTTCCAAACACACATCTCAAATCTGCCTACTCCCCAGGGCCACCAGCTTGGTTGCAAGCTCCACAATCTCTTGTCTAGACTTCAGCACAAAACCTTTTGTTGGTCTCTCTTCTGTCACATCTGCTGCCTGACAATTCATCCTTAACACAGACAGTGAGTCTCTCTTCAAGGCATGCATCAGATGAGGTCACTTCCCTGCTTCAAGTCCTGCAATGGATTCCAATAGCACACATAATAAAACCTTCTTATGACCTAACAAGTGAGCTGGCCACTCTCACTTCTCCTATCTCATTGAGCTTTCTTTACTAACCCTGTCTCTCACCTTGTGTCCCCTGGATAAGACAAACTTATTTCAGCCTAGAGGACTTTGTGCTTCTGTGCTCTGCCTGAAGACCCAGATCTTCACATGCCTAGCTCCTTCTGTCATCCGATTCTCAGCCCAAAGGTAACAACTTGGGGAGACTGACTAATCACTCAACATCAATCTACCCACCCACGCACACACATTCTTTCAACACTGCTTTCAACATGAGTTCTTTGTAGATTTTGGACATTAACCTTTTACCAGAAATATCATTCACAAACACTTTCTTCCACTCAGCAGGTTGCTTTCTCATTTTTGTTGATGGTTTCCTTCACTGTGCAGAGGCCTTTTAGTTCAATGTAGACTCACTCATTTTTGCTTTTGTTGCTTTGATTTTGGTGTCAAGAGTCAAAAAATCATCACCAACAGCTATGTCAAGGAGATTATCACCTATGTTTTCTTCTAGGAGATGTATGGTTTTAGGTCTTACACTAAGGTCTTTAATCCATTTTGAGTTAATTTTTGTGTATGGTGTAAGATAGTGGTCCAGTTTCACTCTTTTGCATGTAGATGTCCATTCTCCAAACACCATTTATTAAAGAGACTGTCCTTTCCTCATTGTATATTCTTGGTTCCTTTGTCATAAATTAACTGACCATATATGAATGGGTTTATTTCTGGGCTCTCTGTTCTGTCCATTGAGCTATGTCTTTTTTTAATGCCAATATCATACTGTTTTTATTAAGTTTGCTTTGTAATATAGTTTGAAATCAGAGAATGTGATATCTTCAGCTTTGTTCTTCTCTCTCAAGACTGTTTTGGCTATTTGGAGTCTTTTGTGTGATACCATGCAAATTTGAGAACTGTTTTGTCCTATTTCTGTGAAATATACCATTGGCATTTTTATAGGGGTTGCATGGAATCTTTATTGCTATATTGTAGTACAGACATTCTAACAATTTTAATTCTTTTAATCCATGAGAACAGAGTATCTTTCCATTTATCTGTCTTCTTCAATTTCGTTCATTAGCATCTTATAGTTTTCAATATATAGGTCTTCATTTCCTTGATTAAATTTACCCTAGGTATTTTATTCTTTTTTTACACTTGTAAATGGGATTGTTCTCCTAATTTCTCTATTAGTTCATTATTAGTATAAAGAAAGCCTAAAGATTTCTATATATTGATTTTATATCCTGCAACTTTATTGAATTTTCTTATTTAAACCTTTT